CGAACAAATGCGGAAAATTGGTGCCGCGATTGCTCAAACCGAAATTATTTTCTGGCCAACCTAATAGTAAGGCTGCTTGAGTCACTTTTGCGTATAATTTTTTGCGAGTCCAGCAACCTTGTTCAATTCCTGACTGTCGCTTTAGATTTTATTCCGGTGTATCTTCTTCAACCTACGCTGTGCGCTATCAACTTCTTCGAACGTGTTAAGGAACTTGATAAGATATTTTTGTTAATATATATTCTTTAGAAATACAGTAAATCCCATTGTACTCTGAGGAATGTTTATTTGCAGTGAATATACTATGATTCTGCATTAGATGTTAATGTGAGAATATTTAGTCAACTTCGAATTGATGATTCAATGTGCTGGCTATATCTAAATAGAAAAATAAGCATTGCGACAAGGACGCGATCTTATTGATAGACGATTTCGAATTATTTGTGCCAATGGTTTTCATTCTTTTCATAAATTTTGTGAACTTTAATTGTCCCTTGAAAGTTGTTCAAAGTTATCTCATCACTGATTTAGAGATGTCGTTTTTTTACTCAAAAAGAAAAACAACTTATCATGCAGCTACAGTGGTTGTTGATTTTTTTCTCAAGTATGTACTTATTAACGATTACAAGCGCAAGAATGACGCAGAAAGGGATTATCTGCTCATTGACTAACTTCTGTTTTGTATACCTTGGAGATTTAGGAACAACATGAGCATCGTATCTGAGCACGGTTTTCGTCTTGATGGACGACGTCCTCAGCAAATCCGTAATATAAGTGCTTCTCTTGGAACAATTCGGGATGCAGAGGGATCGGCGTATTTTGAGCAAGGAGGAACTAAGGTGGTATATTGTGTTTTTTATAGAAAAAATGGACTAAGTTTGATTTAAGTTTAAATCTCTGTAGTTTGTACAAAATTCTTGCGTTAAGACATAGTTTTAGGTCCTCTGCGCAGTTTATGGGCCTTATGAGGGCAAAAAGTCAAAGCAGTTGGAGGATCGCTGTGTCATCAATTGTGTGTTTAGGTGTGTTCTGAACACATTCTTCAGCAATCATCTCTTGTGGGCTAAAAGTTGGCTGAACCAAAATCCTTTGCGATTACCTTATTTGAGCACTTAACCCTACATATTTAGTATGACACGATTTGCTGGCGTAGAACGCAGGCAGCGGGTTCGAGCCGATCGCAAATCAATGGAAATTGAACGGCTCATTGAGAAGACTTTCGAGGGAGCTGTGCTTGTTCATCTGTTTCCTACCTCACAAATCGATATTTTTTGTCAGATTATCCAAGTAAGGCTTATCTGCTATTAGTACAAATAACGATATAAGCTATTGAACTATGATTTATCTCAGAGCGATGGGTCTCATCTTGCCGCCTGCGTCAATGCCGCCTCCTTAGCTATGTCAGATGCTGGAATACCTATGAAGGGTCTTGTAGCTGCTTCAACATGCAGCATAGTTGATGGGCAGCCTGTTGTAGACATCAATCAGAGGGAAGAAACTGATCTGCTTCCGCGATTAACTGTATGGCAAGACATTAGCAGTCATCTATGAACCCAGCATTTTTTTTTTAGCTTGCCACTCTTCGCGGTGAGGATGAGGTTGTTTTGGTTGAGTTACAGAATCGAGTTCATGTTGATCAATTGCCGGCCCTTTTGGCTGCAGCAAAAGACACATGCAAAGGAGTTCATGAATGCATTTGTGCAGCCATTGTTGATGAGCTAGACAAAAGAGCATTTTTCTTACGTTAAAGTGTAAAGCCTCACGTGTTGTTTTTGGCTACGTAGCAAATTTATGCGAATTTTTATCACCGAATTGTTAAGGTAGTACTTTCCACTTTATAAAGTTTTTTCCTGGTTATGGTTGTCTGAATAAAGTTTGTTTATAACTTTTCCACCTTTTTTGTGTTTACACTCACTGCTCAAATATCTCGGCTTATTTCTACTGTCTGAGATTGAAGGAATGTTTACCACAACAGCAACACATTTTTTTGAGGTTTGCCGATTCATCATATTCATAGCTCAAATCCAAGAATACGAAATCAGTAACAAAATTGTGAGGTGTGCACGGGGTCGTCGTCAGATATTTAAAATCATAAGCAACACTACACTGTTAATAGGATCCTAACTTCTAGAAGAGAATTGATCCGCCTCTCAAGTTAAAGGGCGTATGTATTGGAGAAACGTTTACCATCACCGTTTGTTTTGCAAA